GGGGCAGAGACACAGGCAGAGGGAGAAGCAGGCTCCATGCAGGGAACCCGACATGGGACTCGATCTCAGTTCTCCAGCATCAGGCCCTATGCTGAAGGCAGTGCTAAACCACTGAGCCACCCGGGCTGCCCTTGTTTTTTAATACTCATTCAAATAACCTAGTTAAAAAGGCCTTTCCTGACTTCCCAGGTTAGAAGAGTACTTCTGTGCTTCTATACTCTTAATGTTTATCACATTCTATTGCAATGTTCAGTACATGCAACTATCTGTTTTTCTGACTCTATAAGACTATGGGTAACTCAAAGGATGATAAAAAGGCTGTATTTTTCATTGCCAAATCTGCTTGGCACTCTGTCACTTGGTAAATACTTAGTATATGTTTGTTGAATCAAGGTATGAATAAAGATGCAAAAATGAATAAGAGACTATTCTACCTTTAAGAAGTTTATATTCTAGTGATGGAGCATATTTTACATAAATAGCTAGAATTTATAAGGCATTTCCTTTTTTTTTTAATAAGGCATTTCTAAAGCTTAGAATTTACAGAAACAATTCTGAGTAAATTAATGGAATATGGAGGAGATAGCATGTGAGGTAGGTTTTAAGAATGAATAGAATTTTTAGTGAGGTTTTTTCATTCTAAAAGTAATGATACTTGTTAAAGATTTTTGAAAATACATAAAGGTAGAAAAAGATAATCATTATTAACATCTGGCATAACACCTTCCGGTCCTTTAGTATAACATAAATCAGAGAAATTGGGCATACTATTTTAAATTTAATTTGTATTACATTTAAATTTAATATTTATATTACATATAAATTTTATGTTTATATATATTCTCCATTTAAACATATATTCCAAGTATTTTATTAGGTTATTAATAATAGTCTGAGTAAATATAATTCCTAATACATGGGCTTGATTGTGTAATAGTTTAATATTGTCCCTACTGTTAGACATTCTTAGTTGCTTACTGGTTTTCACTATCAAAGAAGAATGAATGAATGCTACAATTTACATAAGTTGGGTATGAAGTTTCCCCATGTTTAGGATTATTTTCCTCATATAGATTCCAAGAAATGAGAAAAAATTGGACAAAGAATGTGAATAGTTAAAACGTTCTCGTTTCATATTGCTTTCAAGAAGGATTGTAACAATTTATTCTTCCACTAGAATGCATGACAGTGCCCACTTCACCATTAACAATTGGGATTTTGGTAGGCAGCAATGGGCTTTAAGGGCATTTCAGGAAGATGAAACAGCACAAGTAAAGAAGTAGTAATAGCTAAATGCCTATAAACTTAGGGAATGATGAGTAAGGAGTTCACTGTGGCCAGAGTGTAAATATGGAGGCATGAGAACATAGGGAAAGAAAAGTCTAGAGAGCTATGCTGGAAACTAGATGATGGAGAATCTTGAATGCCTGGCTGGGCATTTGGACTTCATTATGATGATAATGGTAAACTATTTAAAATTTTTGAAAATGGGTTTACATGATCTATATTTTAAATTTACTTCCATAGCTGGGTGACAGTGAAATCTGAATTGGAACAGGAATAGAAAGAAGTATAAAATATGGTTCAAAGGCCAAATGAATAAGGCTTGTGGATTGAGGGAGAAAAAAAAGAGTCTAAGATGATACCAAGGCTTTGATAACATGAAGATGGTGATGAATTACTCAAAACAGGGAGTGATTTTTCCCTTGGGATTATTCTAAAATACTTTTGAGGGGTGGAGGATGGAACGGGAGTTTACATCGAAGGAGAGAGGGAATTTGTTTTTTTTTAATTTTTATTTATTTATGATAGTCAGAGAGAGAGAGAGAGAGAGAGAGAGAGAGAGAGACAGGCCCCATGCACCGGGAGCCCGATGTGGGATTCGATCCCGGGTCTCCAGGATCGCGCCCTGGGCCAAAGGCAGGCGCCAAACCGCTGCGCCACCCAGGGATCCCAGAGAGAGGGAATTTGAATTAGACTTGTTGAGAGAGAGAGAGTGTGTGTGTGTGTTGTGAGTCATAGGGTAGGCAGGTGGGAATTTTGGATTTTTTTTAAGATTTATTTATTTGAGAGAGAGATAGCATGCACACATATTGGGGAGGGGCAAAGGGAGAGAATCTTCAAGCAGACTCCCACTGGGCATGGAGTTGGGGGGTGCAGGGCTTGATCTTATGACCCATGAGACCACAACCTGAGCTGAAACCAAGAGTCAGTTGTTTAACTGACTGAGCCAACCAAGATGCTCTGGAAATTTGGATTTTTCGCTAAAGCTGTCAAGTTGGAAGTTGGACACGGAAGGTTGTTGCTTAGTAGAGAGGTTATTTTTAGAGATTGTGAATTTGGTATCATTCACATAGTGGCAGTAGTTGAAACTCAAGTTGCAGATGAGTTTGTTTTAGTACAGCTGGAGCTGGAGCATAAGGGACAGGTGGAAGAAAATAAGAAATGAGGCTAAAACTAATATAGCAAAATGAGTCAGGATAGTGTTATGTCATAGATGCCAAAGAAATAAATACAGCAGAGAGTTTATAAAGAAGAGAAAATTTTTCACATTTCTGTGCTATTACATATCCTTTTTGGGTGATTGGGCAATTTATTTTCCTCCTAACACGTGAGCAATTCCACTCATCTGAAAACTTAATGCAAGTAACTAGTGCCTTCTCTGTGAAACTTTTAGGCAGTTAAGCATCTCCTTATCCATGGCCCCGTAGCCATTGAGAGACGTCTATCATTATACCATGATGGGGTGTATTTTATTGTTAAAATATATCTAATTCCCCACTGGACTGTCATGTGAGCTTCTTTGGAACAGGATGATTTCTCATTAATCTTTGTATCTCCAGGGCTTGGATAATGCCATCACATTGTAGATGCCTAGTAAATTCTCATCAACTGAATAAGTGCTGAAAATAGGTTTTGAATTTAAACATTAAAAGATATAAATGGTCTTCAAGAAGAGCGGTTTCAATAGAGATGGGAAGTCAGCAAGAAAACATATACAGGGAGCCCTGGTGGCTCAGCGGTTTAGTGCTGCCTTCAGCCTAGGGCCTGATCCTGGAGACCCAGGATCGAGTCCCACGTCAGTCTCCCTGCATGGAGCCTGCTTCTCCCTCTGCCTGTGTCTCTGCCTCTCTCTCCTTCTGTGTCTCTCATGAATAAATAAATAAAATCTTAAAAAAAAGAAAACATATACAAACAATATACTGTAGGAACCAGACAAGAGAAAAGATGTAAGTGAAAAAATAATGCTTCATATAAAAATGTTATCACTGGTCCAGGCCCAAGCTTATCAGTGCTGTGAATAGATTACAAGTGAACCAGGATGTTGTATCCCTCAACTACTTCCCAATAGGCCATACAAATACTACCATCTTTTTTGTGTGCCATGTATTGTGCTAAGGATACAAGGACAATACAAATCTTTACCCAAAAGGGGCATACAGAATATTAGAGGGATAGATAGGTAAATATACATTTTATTTTTTTATTTTTTTTAAATATACATTTTAAATATAATGTATAAAATACTCCAGTATGCATAAGACATTTGGGGAGCATAGGAAAAAGACATTTTACTAGCCCAAGGATTTAAAGGGAAATTTCTGGTATGGAGAATGCCTTAGCTGGTTTTAGAGGAAAAGGAGGAATAAACCAAGTGAGGAAAAAGAATACTCCAGGCAAAGAGAACAGTATAACCAATATATGAAGATATTAAAGGTAAAATGATATATATGGGAACTCTGTGTAGAGTTCAATTTAACTGGAAAGAAAAGTGTGAAATAAGTGCCAGCAATTGAGCCTGGCAAGGCAGGCAGGGACCACAACATAGATGACTTGTCTTCTCTACTAGGGAACATTAATTTTATATCAAATGGTACTCTGTAGAACAGGTATAGGCCCAGTTTGTCATATTTGAAACAAATCAGTTTGGAAGCAGTACAAAAGATGGGTTTGAGAGTAAAGGAGACCAGTTTGAAGGCTATAGGAATAGTTTGGGCAAGAGACATCTGTATCAAAGCAATAATGGAAGAAATGGAGAGGGGACAGAAGCAAGGACAGATACATGGAAAACTAGTTTGACTTGTTTCTTGAATAGATCTGGAGGGGCCTAAAACAAATCCATAGTATCTAATTGAGTGACTTTGTTGTGTGTTATTGCCATTTAGTGATATAGGAAGTTCTGGGGAGGACAATAGGGTAGAGAGGGTTCTGAATTCTTTGGACATATTGAATTTGGAGAAACTAAGATGCATAGGAATGGATATGTCCAGATAAATAAGTCCAAATTTCAGGGCAGAGGATAGAGTAGAGCTGAGATTTGAAAGCTATCAGCATATAGGTTATAGCTAAAATCCTCAGAATGGAGTGATAATACCCAGGAAAAATGTAGGCTAAGAAGAATAATGAGCAGGGTGCCTGGGTAGCTCAGTTGGTTAAGTTTCTGCTTTCAGCTCATGTCATGATCCCAGGGTCCTGGGGTAGAGCCCTGCATTGGGCTCCCTGCTCAGCAGGGAGTCTGCTTTTCCCTCTCCCTCTGCCTCCCCACTCCCGCTCCCCATTCCCCATTTGTGCTCTCTGCTCTCTCTGAAATAAATAAATAAAATCTTAAGTAGAAGAAGAAGAAGGAAGAGGAGGAAGAAGAGGAGGGGAAAAGGGGGAGGGGAGGAGGAGGAGTGTACTGGGGAAAGGATGGAGCCCTGGAGGAAAGACCAATATTTAGGAGCTGAGCAAAGGAATAGATATTTATAAAGGAGACTGAGAAAGAATTATCAAGTATTCTAGAAGATAAATCATGAAAAGAAACTGCTGAAGCCAGAATAGGAAGTGAAGAAATAGGGGCACTGAGTAATTAATTTAGAATGTTACTTTATAAGAAGCTATAAATGTTTATCATTGTCATTATCATGATCCTCATCATCATAATCTTAGGAATGCATTTTTTGAAGCTCCTTTGAATTCCTTATTTTAATTAAATATACATTAAAGTGCAAATATATTACCTGTTTTTCACAAGCCAGTAGTCTCTCCCATTAAGGTTACCATAGCCAACCACTAATACTCCATGATTCACATTCTGAGTACAGGATGGCTCATAGTAGACACCTGAGAATAAAATACAGGTGAAGAAAAAGAGTGAATGGTATGTGGCAATGAAGGACATTTGAAAATGCTATTGCTTTTAGTAGACTATTTTATATACATGGTAAGTTAAATTATAATTTTAGAAACATATACTCTCATTAAACTAGAGTTCATAATTCTTTGCCATCAATGCTGTATTTGTCAGTTTTCTTGCCAAGTTTGGTATCAGTTCAATCACAGCTCCCTTGGAAATCTTTGATAAACAGCTACTTTTATCTAATTTTTTAAGAATCTATTTTATTTATTTATTTATTTATTTATTTGAGAGAGAGAGGGCGAGAGCTCTCAAGTGACCATGAGCAGTGTGAGGGGCAGAGGGAGAGAGAGAATCTCAAGCAGACTCTGTGCTGAGCACGTACAGCCTGACACGGGGCTAAGTCTCACTACTCTCAGATCATGACCAGAGCTGAAACCAAGAGTTGGACATTTAACCAATTGAGACACTCAGGCACCCCCTTTTTCTAATTATTTTTAACTTAGATCTCTATATAACAGAGTCAATATAATTGACTCTTTGTATATATTCCTAAATTGTTATTTTCTATATTTTTATGCTTTCCTAGATGAAATGATCTTTAGGGTGAGATTTTTTCTTAATCAGTATAGCCATTTATTTATTTATTTAAAGATTTTATTTATTCATTCATGAGAAACAGAGAGAGAGAGAGAGAGGCAGAGTCACAAGCAGAGGGAGAAGCAGGCTCCATGCAGGGAGCCTGATGCAGGACTTGATCCTGGGACTCCAGGATCAAGCCCTGGGCCTGAAGGCAGGCGCTAAACCGCTGACCAACCCAGGGATCCCCCATTTACTTTGTTTAACACAATGCTCTAACACTGGTGGGTGTTCTCCTTGTATACTGCAATACTATACCTACAGTGCACAGTGGCTACAGGAGTTAGGAGCCCAGGCTCTGGAGTCAAAGTAGCATGGTTTCTAATCCTAGCTAGCTGATCACTTCCAGACTATATGACTTTAGGAAAATTAACTGTCTAAGACTTGTTCATCTGTAAATAAGGGTTATTGTGAGGATTAAATAAGATAATGCAGAGAAAGAATTTATCATAGTAGTTGGCATGTAGTAGTAGTAAGTTTTGATGAGTCTTACTTTACTAATTAGAACCGGGTATAAAACATATATGTGAAATGGAGGATTTTGTTTAACCTGAACACTCAGAGTTGAGGTGATGGGGAATGATAATATTCTTTCTTGTGATTCAGGGGCAGCATATAACAAAAGGATAATATATCAGAGTTTTTACCACTTCTGTACAGGAAGAAAGAATAGTGGCTCGCATCTATAGCCACAGACACAGGTCCTTTATTGGCCACAGCTTCTTTTAAGGCATCTTCACTGCCAAAGGGAAGTTCAGTATACTTTGAACATGTGGCAGCTCGATTTTTTGAGTCATATCTGCACTTTCCATCCTGCAAAAAAAGGTATAAATAAGATAAAGAAGTATACTTCAACTTCCTTTATAAATCATCAACATCCTAAGTCTGGATTTCAAATATGTTTTCTTTCCTAATTTAGTTTTTCAAATGTCTAAGTTTCCTTCCTCCTTTTAAAGAAAGAAAAATAAAATCTTCCAAAACAGTTCAATGTTTCACCAGTAACAGAAGAAATACGTAACTATTATATTGTTTTAAATTGTGAACATCTTCATGCATGCATCATAACGTCCCTCAGACTCTCAAGTGGATTATGGGAGTATACTATGTAAAGATCGTAAACTCTATACTAGAACTTTAAAATCTTTTTTTAAAGATTTTATTTATTTATTCATGAAAAGCAGGCTCCCTATGGGGAGCCTGATGTGGGATGAGATCCCAGGACCCCGGGATCACACCCTGAGCCAAAGGCAGACATTCAACCACTAAGCCACCCAGGTGCTCTTAGAACTTTAAAATATTTTTGATAATATAATGCCTGCAAGATGATCTGCAGTTTTTTTTTTAATTTTTTTTATTTATTTACTCATGAGAGACACAGAGGCAGAGACAAGAAGCAGGCTCCATGCAGGGAGCCCATCGTGGGACTTGATCCCAGGACTCCAGGTTCACGCCCTGGGCCAAAGGCAGGCGCTAAACCGCTGAGCCACCCAGGGATCCCCTGATGATCTGCCGTTTAAATGAAGGTTTATAAAGACCATGTAATCTGAAAAACATTTAGAGAGTATATTTTAATAGGAAAAGAGAGGTTATAGGGGTAGCCTGGGTGGCTCAGCGATTTAGCGCCTTCGGCCCAGAGTGTGATCCTGGTGACCCGGGATCGAGTTCTGCATCTGGCTCCCTGCATGGAGCCTGCTTCTCCCTCTGCCTCTCTCTGTCTCTTTCTGTGTCTCTCATGAATAAATAAGTAAAATCTTAAAAAAAAAAAAAAAAGGAAAAGAGGTTATCAATTCACTTTTGTTGTGCATCCTTTTAAATGCTTAATAAGAAAAAGAACTTGAAAGAAATAAACCAAAACAATGGTGTTTAAGGTAGGTTTTGGAGTGGTATTTTTTATCTTTTCTAAATTTTCTGTAATATGGATATATTAATTTAATAAAATATGTCATGAGCTTGTGAAGAGGAAGAAGACAGCATTATGTAGTTAGTGTTTTGGTAGAAGATTGATGTTGTCAATGATCTGAGAATAAGGTTGAGCATGGGAGGCCGTAGGAAAAACAAGTTGAAATGTCAGGTAGTCAGAGAATTCTGAGGTTTATTGAAAATCCATTTCTTTAAGCATGAATTCTACTTGCTTAAAACCATTCTGTCTCTGATAAATTAAGACTATTGAATAAGGAAAACTCTCAAAAATATAAGAATTCCTGATCAGGATTTTCATACACTGCTTCTCAAGCAATTGGCTTGGTTGTGAGTTTAGTTCAGTTAGTAAGGGATACCATAAAGTCATAGAATAGCACAAAAAGTTTGTGACATACCATGGCTTTGTAGGGATAGGAAGCTTCTGAATCAATGCCGTTGTTATCAATAATATACTGGAAAGCAGTTGTCATGAAACCGCCATTGCAGCCTTTATTCCCATATTTTTCAGTTGAACAATCTACCAGGTTCTGTGCACTCAGAGACACCAGCTTTCCTGTTTTTAGCTTCAGTTGTGCTTCCAGGGCCCCCACAGCGCTGAAAGCCCAACAAGCACCACAAGAACCCTAAAATAGAGACAAAGTCACAAAGGCCATCATAAAAAGTCAGTAAGGAAGACTTCTATAACACAAACTGGGCACCTCCCAACACATGTCAGCTCCTCCCCCATTACAATTTCTTCATTTCTTAGACATGGACATGAAGACTAAATACTTGATTGTTCTCTTCTCAGAACAAGGTCCAATATTGATAGAGATTTGCAAATGGCTGAGCTCAAAGCATAATTGCCGTGGTCAAATATATTAAGAAACAGTACTTACTGAGCATGTGCTAGATCCCAGCTATCTTTACCTATAAATGAGGTAGACAGTCATCTACAGTACAGTGATTTTGAGAGGAGCTAGGATGATTCTCTTGACGGAAAATACTCTTTCTCTTGTCAAGTAAGGCCCGAAAATATAAGGTTAAATCTTTTCAAACATTTTTAGCTTCATAATTTTTTGATCAAAGATCTTTTACAGGGAAGCATAAACAAACAGAAAAACACAAAGCTGCTTTAGTTAAAAAAGGTCCAGAGCCCTATCATAATTGTTCTAATTCAGATCTACCTTCATTCCACCTTGTTCTCTACCCAAAGGAAGCAAATTTAATTTGATTTTTAAAAAGATTTTATTTATTTATTTATTCATGAGAGATACAGAGAGGGGCAAAAACATAGGCAGAGGGAGAAACAGATTCCCTGCTGAGCAGGGAGCCTGATGCAGGACTCCATCCCAGGATCACGACCTGAGTCGAAGGCAGACGCCCAACCACTGAGCCACACACGTGCCCCTGATTTTGCTTTCGGTTTAAGCAAAATCACCCATTAAAATGCAAGCATGCAGAGAAAGGAGCTCGTTAAATTATTTATTTATTTATTTATTTATTTATTTATTTATTTATTATTTATTTATTCATGAGAGACATAGAGAGAGACACAGGCAGAGGGAGAAGCAGGCTCCATGCAGGGAGCCCAATGTGGGACTCGTTCCCAGGTCCCCAGGATCATGTGCTGGGCTGAAGGCGGTGCTAAACCGCGGAGCCACCCAGGCGGCCCCTTGTTAAATTATTTATAGTTAACACCTAAACATGCATTGGATCTTCCCAAACTTTCTTTTTTTCCCCCCCAAACTTCCATTTTATTTTACTTTATTTTTTAAAGTAGGCTCTATGCCCAACATGGGGCTTGAATGCATGATTCTGATGTTGAGAGTTGCATACTCCTACTGACTAAGCCAGCCAGGTGCTCCCAAGCTTTTATTTTATTTTATTTTATTTTATTTTATTTTATTTTATTTTATTTTATTTTATTTTATTTTATTTTATTTATTCATGAGAGACAGAGAGAGAGAGGGAGGCAGAAACACAGGCAGAGGGAGAAGCAGTCTCCATGCAGGGAACTTGACATGGGACTCGATCCCCAGTCTCCAGGATCACGCCCTAGGCTGAAGGCAGCGCTAAACCACTGAGCCACCTGGGCTGCTCCCAAGTTTTTATTTTAGAGAAGCTCTAATAAGAAACCCAAAACTAATTACAAGAAAAATATCTAGGTAGAAAAGAATAAGATACTGGCAGTCCATTTACTTCTTAAATTTTACTTTCTTGGAGAGAAAATGAGTGAAAATATCAGTGAGGGTGACAAAACATGACAGACACCTAACTCTGGGAAATGAACAAGGGGTAGTGGAAGGGGAAGTGGGCGGGGGGTTGGGGTGACTGGGTGATGGGTATTGAGGGGGGCACTTGGCCGGATGAGCACTGGGTGTTATGCTATATGTTGGCAAATTGAACTCTAATAAATTTTTTTTTTAAATTTTTACTTTCTTCATTGGTCACCAGCCAGGGGATACTGCTTAGAACACTTAGATTCCTCTCCCTTATCCTGACCTCTGAGGTGATGCATGTGTTTTGCCCTTAGTTATCTCTAACTAATTGAGGATTTTTGCTGCTTTTTTTTTTTTAAGTAGGCTCTATACCCAGTGTAGAGCCCAACCTGGGTCTTGAACTCATGACTCTGAGATCAAGAGCTGAGCTGAGCTCAAGAGTCAGATGCTTAACCAGCTAAGCCACCCAAGCACCCCTTAAAGCAAACTAACGGATATACAAAAACAGGAACAAATTTTTAAAAACTGTACTGTATTTCTTATTGTAACAATGCAAGCGTAGTCATGAGTTTACTTGACTGGTACAATTTATAGGCTACTCTCAGCTCTAGGTTTCTCCTCTCTTTCAACACTGAAATGGAGGAAGAAACCTCCTGATCGATATTCTCTCTCACACACAATACTGTTTCTCAAGCAACTGGCTTGGTGGAAGGTCCAGTGCAGTTGATGGATAGTATGAGCACTAAAAGTCTGCCTTAAAGAACTCTATTTGCTCAGTTCAAGTTTTATCTAATGTGGCTGTAACCATTGGTGTTCTATCAATTTAGATTTATATAAGTTTGGTAACTTACCCTAAAGGATTGTGAGTAATCTTTAGGCAATGTTTTCTAAAATTAATAAAAAACAAAAGACATAATAGCCTGAGAGTTTCAAATATTCCCCTAAAAAGCATGTTAAGGAAAGTGGCCACAGTAGGACAAAACAAGGATTAAACGGTGGAAAATACATTAAAGTATGATATGTGGTCATTGTCCTCAAGGAATTTACAATTTATTTATTTTTCTTTAAAGATTTATTTATTTATTTATTTATTTATTTATTTATTTATTTATTTATTTGAGAGAGAGAGAGAGAGAGAGAGAGAGAGGCAGAAGCAGGCTCCATGCCAGGGCCAGACACGGGACTTGATCCTCGGACTCCAGGACTGCGCCCTGGGCCAAAGGCAGGCGCCAAACCGCTGAGGCACCCAGGGATCCGCAAGAATTTACAATTTAAAATTTAGTTGGGACAGGACGCCTCGGTGGCTCAGTGGTTGAGTGTCTGCCTTTGGCTCAGGGCGTGATCCTGGGGTCCTGGGATCAAGTCCCCCATCGGGCTTCCTGCATGGAGCCTGCTTCTCCCTCTGCCTGTGCCTTTGCCTCTCTGTATCTCTCTTGAATAATTTTTTTAAAAAATCTTAAATAAATAAATAAATAGAATTTAGTTGGGAAGACAATAAGAAAAATCATTAGAAATAACATAAGGGGGTGGGGGTGGGGGGGCAGCGCGGGTGGCTGGGCGGTTTAGCGCCGCCTTCAGCCCAGGGTGTGGTCCTGGGGTGTCCCAGGATCGAGTCCCATGTCGGGCTCCCTGCATGGAGCCTGCTTCTCCCTCTGCCTGTGTCTCTGCCTCTCTCTCTCTGTATGTCTCTCATGAATAAATAAATAAAATTTTAAAAAAAGAAAAAAGAAAGAAAGAACATAAGGGAGATTCCACTGCCAAATTATGTAGCTCGACTAAGTATTGACAGAAAAGAAACTCTTCCTGGGGTACAAAAGCCTGGGATGACAATACTCACCTGGTATTTCACTTCAGTAACACACCCCTTCTCTCTCCAGTCCACAGAATCAGGCAATTTCTGATTAGAGTTTGACCTGTAAGTGACATTTCTCTGCCATTGGCTGGGAACTCTCAGGGAACCCATCAAAGATATCACTTCTTCACCAGTCTACAAGGCAAATATATTCACTTATGACCTTCTTTTCAATATTCTTTTTCTTTTTTTTTAAGATTTTATTTATTTATTTGAGAGAGAGAGAGAAAGAGAGAGACAGAGCATGGGCAGGTGAGAGGGGCACAGGGAGAGGGAGAAACAGACTTCCCGCTGAGCAGGGAGCCCAATGCCATCCCAGGACCGTGGGATCATGACCTGAGCCGAAGGCAGACACTTAACCAACTGAGCCACCCAGACACCCCTCTTTTCAGTATTCTAATTACTGTAACTTTTAATATATTTAACAACTGAGAAAATTAGTGGTAGTTGTGACCAACATGGGTACTGCTGTCTGATAGGGGAATTATCTGGATTTCTTTCACACTTTGTCTTAGCACCCAGTCAGGCATTGGGAAGAAGAAAATAGTAAAAACTAGAAGTTACAGGAAGGCAGATTTTTGGTTTAAAGCAAGGCCGAATTTTATAAAAGGGCTGTTTAAAAAGTGGACTGAACTGGTTTTCTTTTGAGAAAGAATTACAAAAGAGATGCCTGCATTTAAATAGAAATTTAATCTACCTGGGGTGTTCTCTTCCAAGAGGTACTGTGATTCTTAATTTTGGTCTCAACAGTAAAGTTTTGTAGGGTAGAAAAAAATCTAAAAACTAATGGAGAGTATTTGTGATGTTAAATAGCCACACTCCCTCATTAAGAAAGCAGGTGGAACCATACTGAATTATCACTTTAGGGGTACCTAAGTATGGTAACTTACTCTAAAAGATTGTGAGTAATATTTAGGCAATGCATTCTAGAATTAATAAAAAACAAAAAGCAATAGTAGCCTGTGAGTTTCAAATATTCCTCTAAAAAATGTATTAAGGAAGGTGGTCACAGTAGGACTAAACAAGGAATCTGCAAATTCTTCTGTCCTTAAATTCTACTGTTTTCTAACTTCGTGTACACACACACACACACACACACACACTTTGCTGTTTACCTTCAGATTGCCTTTGGGGAAATGGAAATCATTCTTACTCATAGATGAAAGTAGGATTATTTGTAATTTACTTACCATGTCTCCCAGATGGTTCATGCCTAGATCATATGAATGCATTCCCATTGAGTGTTCCAGATTGTGAAGCATCACAAATTTTAGATTTTTTTCCCAGATGAGACGCCGTGCTACTTCCTCATTCTAAAATGTAAGGAAGAAGAACATAGTCACAGGCATATATGTTAAAGATATTGGAGGTTCAGTTCCAGACTACTGTGGTAAAGCAAATATCAGAATAAAGTGAATCAAATGAAGATTTTGGTTTCCCTGTGCATAGAAAAGTCATGTTTATACTATACTGTAGTTTATTAAGTGTGCAGTAGCATTATATTATATGAACTTTGAGATAAATTATAAAGGTAGGATACTAATCAAAAGTAATTTTCATTCATTTCAAGGGACTGGAGTCATTAAAAAGAGAGATAGTATTCATTTAACCAGATAATGGTGCTAACTGAACATCTAACTCTAGTTAACTTTGAAATTAGAGGCCTATTTCTAAAGGGGACTGGATGAGGGTAAAATTCATCACTACTAAGAAAATGGGAAGCCTGGGTGGCTCAGCGGTTGAGCATCTGCCTTCAGCTCAGGGCGTGATCCCAGGATCCAGGATGGAATCCCTCATCAGGCTCTTGTGGGGAGCCTGCTTCTTCCTCTGCCAGTGTCTCTGCCTCTCTCTCTGTGTCTCTCAGGAATAAATAAATAAAATCTTTAAAATAAATAAATAAATAAATAAATAAATAAATAAATAAATAAATAAATAAAATCTTTCTTTTTTAAAAAGTACATTTCTTTAAAAGATTTTTTTAAAAGATCCCAGATCCCGGATCCTGGGATCACGCCCTGAGCTGAAGGCAGATGTTCAACCACGGAGCTACCCAGGTGTCCCTAGAGATTTTATTTTTAAGCTATCTCTATACCCAATGTGAGGCTCAACCCTACAATCCCAAGATTTAGAATTACATGCTCCACTGACTGAATCAGCCAGCTGGGCCTCAGAAGTATATTTTTTTAAGTAGGCACTATGCCCAACATGGGGCTTGAATTCAATGACCCTGACATTAATAGTTGTGATTAAGAGTCTACTGACTGAGCCTGCCAGGCATCCCCAAGCTTAGAAATATGATATAGTTATAGGACTTAGTTATTTGAAGCACGAGGGTTAAGATCTTAAAAACCAGTAAGTATGAATTGAGAGGCACCTAGGTGGCTCAGTGGTTGAGCGTCTGCCTTCTGCTCAGGGTCCTGGGATTGAGTTCTGCATCAGCTCCTCACAAGGGAGCCTGCTTCTTCCTCTGCCTATGTCTCTGCCTCTCTCCCTCTGCCTATGTCTCTTCTCTCTCTCACAGAGAGAGAGAGAGAAATTTACTCTCATGAATAAATAAATAAAATCTTTAAAAAAACGACAACCAATAAGTATGCACTGAAGTAAAAACAAAAGTGCAAAGTGGGAATTGAAAGTAAAAAACATCTGGTAATGCTTCTATGTGCCCAGGACTGAAATAAGGTCTTTTTGTCCTTGAATGTGTACTCTATCCCCCTTGGCCCGGAATGTTCATTCGAGTTACGATTTTGTTTGCTCCCTGACTTCTGTGAATTCTCGGCTCACACACCCAGAATTCAACCTTCAATGAGGGTGCTTCCTTAAGCATTCCATCATATATAGCAAATAATCTCTCTGAACCTCTCACAGCCGTTTCCCAGAGCCTGCCAGCTCTAGGTCTCACTAGACCCCCAATGTCTTGCTTTATTTTTCTCTACTGCTCTTATCACCACCTAACATACTAGATATATGTGCTTATTTATTTACTTAGTTTCTGTCTTGCCTGCTGAGATATGAGCTCCACAAAAACAGGAACTTTGTTTTTTTCTTGCTATATTCTCTGGTACCAAGAATAGAATCTGGCAAGAAATGAGTGTGTAAGCATTTATGGAAAACATTGCTCATAAGAATCTAAGTTTCAGGAGGAGAAAGCATAGAATACTTGAGTAAAAGCAAATTGCTCACTAACCTCTTCCTTGTATTGTTTGCTGTAGGTTTTCTTCCAGAGATTCCAGTGATGATCCAAAGTGGGATCTTTATGTACTTGTGCCACTGCATAGGAGCACAACGGAAGCAGCCCAACCAGCCATTTCCTTGTGTTAAAGGAAAGGTAACATAAGAGGAATAGTTGTTAGCTGCACATATTATGCCCATATTTTTTCATTAAAATAAATAGCAACATAAAGTCTGTCAGAAGGACAATAGAAATCAGAATTATAGAGGAAACTTTCTGTGATTTATTGTCACAGGGAGTAATGGTAGATTTATGACTCTAATACCACTTCCAATACTTTGTAGTGCTTTAAAAAGTAATTTTCAGAAATTTCTTAATATCTAGTATACCAAACTTTCATCCAAGGTAGGGGGAATTGGGTAGGGGAGGGAGGCAGGGATTTTACAGGATTTGCCAACAAATCTAATCAAGGGAAATTGCCACACACACCCCTATCTGTAAGAGGAAGGCAAACTGAAAAATCAGTTTATCTAAATAAGTTTTGAATACAGGGGCTCTTCTTACCTGGTCTATTTATATATCCATAACATTTAGAAGTAGTTGAAAGACAACTCTTATGTATCGTTTTCAAATCCTAGAATCATTTAATTTTTAAGTCATTTTTCCAATAACGAAAATACCCACTTCAAAGGAAGCACTTAAGTAAATTTTTGAAAACACCACTTCTATATTTAATACAAAAAGACTTTTTTTTTTTCAAAAAGACTTTAACAGTAATTCAGTGACTATCTTCCTCAAACTGGACTCTATTTTCTGTTTTATTTTAAATTCAAAAGAGCTGGAATTTTAGCCATGTCATTCTTCAAATTATATTCCAAAGAAAGTTATGTTTCAGGCACAGGTTTAGATGTGTAAGCAGACATTAACTTTTCAAAAATAGATTCTTTTTAGTCAAAAAAAGAAGAGGCAAATTGAATGGCACAATATTTTAGTTTACTTCCTGAAACCAAAGATTTAAAGCCTGGCAAGCACAGCAAGCTAAAGACACAAACAGAGGGTTTAAAGATCAAACAGTAGAAAAAGAACAAACAGTACATACATGAAAGAACCTGCAGGTGCTCCCATACTAATAATGCCTGGTGGTGAATCCTCTCCAAAGATTTTAAGGCAGCAAAGAGACTTCAGTTAAATTGACTTTAAAAAGAAATCAGGCTTGTCACATGAGACATCCACAATGAGGAAGTGAACTTTCATTTCAGTTTCATTTAAAATTTAACTACATCAGCTATCTCTGGCCCTCACCCCTATGGTTTTGGAGACAAAGTGGGTACAGTAAGCCGTCAAAAAGAGCCCCCAGTGGAGCAGATCAGTAGAACAAACTCAGCAAAATAGGAGCAGTGCCAATTTACCCTTTAATCCCTCATCATTTTGATAATTCACTTTACCTCAAAACACCAATTTTCAGATGGAAAAATTTATTTATGAGGAGATTAGGATTAAGCTCCTGAATCATCCAGCTTCCTCCAGAATTTCCTATGAAAACCTGTGACCATCCATCACTACTACTCTCTCATGCTCACTCAGCTATTCCTTGGTTCATCAATTCAAAATGTCTTTTTTTTTTTTTAAAGATTTTATTTATTCATGAGAAACACAGAAAGAGAGGCAGAGACATAGGCAATGGGAAAAGCAGGCTCCCTGCAGGGAGCCTGATGCAGGACTCCTCCAGGGATCACACCCTGAGCTGAAGGCAGACACTTAACCGCTGAGCCACCCAGGCGTCCCCAAAATGTCTTTAGTGATAGTAATATGTATTAGGTTATTTATAGAAAGAAAAATATACCTAGGTACATCTAAGTGTTAGAATGGTTAGCTAAGTAGAGGCAGGGGTAGGATGAACTAGCATTTTAAAAATAATTTGCATATTCTTAATTACTAATGAGGTTGAACATCTTTTCACACATCATGGACCATTCGAGTTTTCTGTGAAATGCCTCATATGTTTTGTTCATTTTCCTATTGTATTGTTGCTTTTACTTAGTGTTTTGTAGTTTTATATATATATATTCTGGCTACTAATCTTCAACAGTTTTATATCCTAAAAATATCTTCTCTCAGTCTTTCACAGATATCTAGCTTATATTGACTTTTTCTATATGAAATTTTACAATATTGATGTAGAAAAATTTATTCACTTTTACCTTTGATATATGCTTTTTTGGTCTTATTTAAGAAAATGTTTTTCATTCCAATGTAAAAAAGATACACTCATTTAATCCTCATAGTTTTAGAATATTATATTTTTCTTTTTTATGGTCATTGCTTTTAGGTCTTTATTTCATTTGGAATTTAGTTTTTGTTTATGATATGAAGTAGGGAGCTTATTTATTTGTTTTCCCATTGTGATGGGAAACCTCTATCATATACCAAATTCCCATATATACAAAGGTCAGTTTCTGAGCTCACTAATTTGCTTTCTTTTTATTGCTCTTTCAATAACACACACTTTTAATTAAAAAGGTTTTTTTTTAAAAGATTTAAAGATTTTTTTTTTTTTAAAGATACAGAGAGAGAGAAGAAGAGACACAGGCAGAGGGAGAAGCAGGCTCCATGCAGGGAGCCCGATGTGGGACTCGATCCCAGGACTCCAGGGTCAGGCCCTGGGCCAAAGGCAGGCGCTCAACCGCTGAGCCACCCAGGGATCCCCAATTAAAAAGGTTTGTAAATCTTTTGAAGTCTAGTAGGACAAGTTACCCCTGTAACTCTTATGTTTGTTTTCCTTTTTCAAAGTTGTCTTAGCATTTTGTCGTAGCTTTTCCATGTGAAAATTTTAAATCAGTTTATCAAGTTTTCTGAAAAATTTCATCAGACTTTTTATTTGAATGGCTGAATTTGTATTTATATTGCATTGCAATATATATAGTTGCATTGCTGTATATGGAATTACATACATATAAATATATACATTTGGGGAGACTCAATGTCATATTGAGTCTTCTGTTAGTAGACATTTTCAGGTTTGTAGTCATTTAGCTTTAAAATTTTTTTTACATATTTTAAACATATATGAAAGTAGAGTTAATAGTGAAATGAGGGATCCCTGGGTGGCGCAGCGGTTTGGCGCCTGCCTTTGGCCCAGGGCGCGATCCTGGAGACCCGGGATCGAGTCCTACGGGCTCCCGGTGCATGGAGCCTGCTTCTCCCTCTGCCTGTGTCTCTGCCTCTCTCTATCTGTGTGTGACTATCATAAACAAAAATTAATAAAAAGTAAAAAAATAAAAAAATAGTGAAATGAGCCCCCATAAAACTATTATCTTGCTTCAAGTTATCCATACATGACCAATGTTGTTTTATTTACACTCGAATTACCCAGATTATTTTAAAGTAAATCCTAGAAATCAAATTATTCCCTGTATAAATATTCCACTGTGTATCTCTAAAAGATATTCTTAAATATAACTATCATAGCATTATCACATCTGAAATAAATTAATAATAATTTCTTAATGCCATCAAACATGTTGTTGGAATTCACATTCTCCTTAATATATTTTTAATTCATTTTTTATAATGCCCAACCACTCAACTGCTGAGCCACCCAGGAGTTGGGATCTGGTTTCTTTTAGTAGAAAGGATGTTTAAATACATAATCTAGGCACCAGGAATGTCACTGAATCAGATTGACCACTGTTTCTAAGCCTTTCAAAAGACAGAGCTAGGGAGTTTCATTGTATGTAATTTAAAAATATATTATAGGGGATCCCTGGGTGGCTCAGCGGTTTGGCGCCTGCCTTTGGCCCAGGGTGCGATCCTGGAGTCCCAGGATCGAGTCCCGCTTTGGAGTCCCACATCGGGCTCCCTGCAGGGAGCCTGCTTCTCTCTCTGCCTCTCTCTCTGTGTCTCTCATGAATAAATAAATAAAATCTTTAAAAAAAATAAAAATACATTATATATCATACAGTTATTATGTATATTATATATAATTATTATATAGATTAAATAAATCTCAAGATCACACTGATACTTCAAATTCAAATTCAAGGGTATGGAGTTTTTAACCTAACTTCACCAATCTTTCATCTGTACCTCTTTCAAACATGATGAAAATTTCAGTTCTCTAAAATATCAACATACTCATTTAATTTATCCCATAGTATTACATAACAATACCAAGCCACCACCAATAAGATTATTACTGAGGATTCAAAGATTTTGGAGGAGGGCAAATTTTGCCCCCGTTAGGCCATATTCTGCTAAGAATGTAAATCAATCATTTTGTTTTAAGTCACCTGAAATAGTTCCCTGTATGGTTACACCACCACTGAAATAACCAGTAAAGTTCATTTGTTTCATTTTGCTTCTGATTTTTTTTTTTTTGAGAGAGAGAGAGAAAGGGAGAGAGTGCACACGCATGGGGGAGTGAGGAAAGGGACAGTGGGAGAGGGGGAGAGAGAATTTTAAACAGGCTCTGTGCCCAGTGCAGAACTCTATGTGGGGATCCATCTCATGACCCTGAGATCAAGACTGAGCTAAAATTAAGAGCCACCCAGGCACCCCTCATTTTACTTCTGATTTTCATAGGCTCTTTTCAAATTAATTTAATTTTGTTTTATAATTATATACAATATATAAATGGACCCAAACCCAGATCAGCAAAATGAGGTATATTCAAAGAAGTCTCACTTGCAGTTCTGTTTTCTCTGTACTATTCCCTCCCTCCCATGATAATAGGTAACCATTTAAACAATTTACAGTTTGTCTTTCCATTAAAAAAAAAAGAAAATATGCAAATGTATTATTATCCCTCCTTTCTTATGTGAAAGATAATATGTTATACATATTTTTCTCCACCTTTTTTTTTTCAACTTAACATTGTGCTAAGAAGACTTTCAATACTTAGAAATAGGAAAAGAAATGATCAGGTGTCCTTTCAGTGGAGTCTGGGCATTGTATATTAGACCCTGAGGCAGGAGGCAGGAATATCTGATTCTGGGACCCCTGGGTGGTTCAGCAGTTGGCCTTTGGCTGAGAGCATGATCCTGGAGTCCCAGGATAGAGTCCCATATCCGGCTCCCTGCATGGGACCTGCTTCTCCTTCTGCCTATGTCTTTGTCTCTCTATCTCTCTGTGTCTCTCATGAATAAATAAATAAAATCTTTAAAGTCTCCAAGGGCTTCTAGTAGATGTTTTCTATGTTTTTTCAGCTTTTCCTATTTGTCTTCATTGGGAAGATTGGACTGAATTCTCTAGTTCACCATACTCAAAGGGCAAATCTCTGATTCACTATTTTATCACTCCTCCACCATCCAATAGAAATATAAGGCAAGCCACACTGTACTTTTAAATTTTCTGGTAGCCTTTTAAAAAAATTTTTTTAGTAGCCTTTTTTAAAATAAAAAATTCAAAAAAATAAAATAATACTGCCTTTCCATGGAGTCTTCTCTATCTTTTTTTTCATCTTTTTCTTCTCTTTTTTCTCATATTTTTTTCAATATACTTTTATGACACTTAAAATTATACCACCCAGTTTGAACTTATTTTGTATTTTTATTACATAAGATAGTTTTATCTCCCCAGCTAACTGAAGAACACAGAATCCTATTTTACTCATCTTTGTTCTGTGGCTTAACAGATGTCAAGACATAATTAATAAATATTTGTTGGATTAATTTTTGTAATTACAATCTTCTGTATGTTTTATCTTCACTTTTGATTCATACCCCCTTGGCAGTGGTTTCTGAGGCTTTTCTTTCTTTCTTTTTTTTTCCTGAGGCTTTTAGCCTTAGGTTTCTCTGCTGCTTCTGTTCTCCTGGTATAGAAAAGTTGATAAAAAATATAGTATTTAGGGACACCTGGGTGGCTCAGCAGTTGAGCATCTGCCTTCGACTCAGGGCATGATCCCAGGGTCTAGGATCAAGTCCCGTGTCGGGCTCCCCTGCATGGAGCCTACTTCTCCCTCTGCCTGTCTCTCTGCCTCTCTCTCTATGTCTCTCATGAACAAATAAATAAAATCTTAATATATATATATATACATATATATAGTATTTAGATACACTGAGGAAACATGTTATTACATAGTCTATCCCATGTACACTTGTACATTTTATAAATGTAAAATCATCCTGCAACATTCTACAGCTATAAATTAGGTTTTTGTATGGTAGTTTCCTTTGAAATGGGGCACCCTCGCTGCTGCAAATTTCCTTAACTACAGATTGTCTGCGACTTACAATTTTTCAACTTTATGATGG